TCCTGCCGGGCAGGCCGGTTCTTGGCCAACATGGAAAAGGACTCTTTACCAACTGCATCACTGGGATACAGACAGTTCATGCCTATAATGGAATCCTTGGATGTAAACATATGATTTCTTTGCAAATCTTTGGAATCTACGCAGAGAGAATCTGTTGAACGGCTTGTAGTAGATTAGCACAGACATGTGGAGGTCAAGGTGCTGTCTGGCTGATTCTGATTCACAGCGACCTCATGTGACAAAGTAGAATTGCTCCAGAGAGCTTCCTGTCTGTCATCTTTATGGAAACAGTCTCCAAGTCTCTCCCATGGAGTCTCTGGCAGGGATCAAACCACAGGTCCTTCTGTTAACTGACAATCACTTACCTGTTTGCATCTCGAGGGATCCATGGCTTCCTGGAGTCAGTGTCCACTCACGGCGACACTACAGGATGGGGTGGAACTGCCGCGGGAGCTGCTCTTTTGGGGAGTAGAAAGCCCTGTCTTTCTCCTGAGGAGCATCTGGTGGTTGGGAACTGCTGACCTTGCGAATCGCAGCCCAACATACAATCACTGTGCGCCGGGCGGGGCTCCTGGAGTGTGGACTGGAAAACATTTTGCGGGAGAGTTTTTGTGCGATGATGTTCTCCACCTCCACCTCCAAGAATGGAGTGGTACAAGGTGCAGAAGGGACCAGTTATCAGACATCAAAGAACTGAAAATCATATCAGTGGGTGCCCACCTTCCTGATATGGTCACTGAAGACAAACGTGTGCATAAGCAAAGGTGGTGAAGAAAGCTGATGGTGCCCGGCTATCAAAAGATATAGCGTCTGGGGTCTTAAAGGCTTGAAGATAAACAAGCAGCCAACTGGCTCAGAAGCAACAAAGCCCACATGGAAGAAGCACAACAGCCTGTGTGACCACGAGCTGTCGAAGGGATAAGGTATCAAGCATCCAAGAACAAAAAATTATATCATTGTGAAGGTGGGTGAGTGCAGAGTGGAGACTCAAAGCCCATCGGTGGGCAACTGAACACCCCCTTACGGAGGGGTTGTAGGGAGGAGACGAGCCAATCAGGGTGCAGGGTAGCAACGATGAAACATATAACTTTCCTCTAGTTCTTTAATGCTGCCCCCCACCCATCATGATCCCAATTCTACCTTACAAATCTGGCTGGACCGGAGGATGTACATTGGTACAGATAGCAACTGGAAGCACAGGGAATCCAGTATAGATGACTCCTTCAGGACCAGTGGTGAGAGGGGCGATGCCTGGAGGGTGAAGGGAATGTGGGGTAGAAAGAGGGAACCAATTACAAGAATCTAAGTATTGCCTCCTCCCTGGGGGATGGAAAGCAGAGAAGAGGGCGGAGGGAAACATCGGACAGTGTAACTTATGACAAAAGTATAATTTATGAACTATGAAGGGTTCATGAGGGAGGTGGGGGAGGGAGGGGGAAAATGAGCAACTGATATTAGGGGCTAGAGTGGGAGGCAAATGTTTTGAGAATGACGAGGGCAACAAATGTGCATATGTGCTTGACACAATGGATGCATGTATGGATTGTGATGAGAATTGTATGAGCCCTCAATAAAATAATTTTAAAAAAAAGAGAATGGAGTGGTAACTGAAAAGCAAACAAACTGCTAAGAAGTGCACTCTGAATCGTAAGGACCCGGTACGACAGGCTAGGACCGTGGCTGTGAATCTTCACAGAATTGAATGGTCCCGTTTTCTAGCTCGCTCTCATGGGAGGAGCCTACAGTTGGAGCAATTCTTAACCCACTTCCACATGAAGGGTCCCTGAATGGGGCCGGGGAAGGGAATGCAAACTCCCATTCCTGGTCACATCCCAGAAGTCATGACCCTGAGCCTCCGACGGTCAATTCCAGCCATTTGTACGGTTACTGGGTTCCTCATTTGATTTTTCAGCAGTGTGGATATGTTAAAAAATAAACCATTAATGAGGTATTAATACACAAATTAATGAATAAAATACTTTGAATCAAGCATTCCTGGGCATTGGAAATGGTTAATGCTCTCAGCTGCTCCCGGAAGGGTTGGCGGTTGGAGTCCCCTCAGGGGTGCTTTGGAAGAAGGCCTGGGAAACAGAAACCCATCACAGTTCTAATCTAACGCACATGGGTTGGAACTGACTTGCTTAGCAACAGTTTGGCGATTGGCTATCGCACACATACAAAAAATGGTGCAAGTGATCAGTGAACAGCTTGGTGAATTGTTACAATGTGCATTGTCCTGAATAACTGCCATCTAGACGATAGAGAAGACTGTGGAAACCCCTCCTCCTCCCGGATTCCTTTAGACACTACACAGGGACACACAAAGGAAGCTTTGGAAAAACCTGGTGTTAATTTCTTTTAAAGCCCTCAAAAAAAGTTTAGGTCAAAGGAAGTAGTTAAATATTTAATATGGATCTTTATACCAATGCCATCATCACATAATTTTAAATATATTCAAAGAAGGGGCCAAAGAAGGCAGAAGTGCTGTCAAAGAGTGAAAACGAGGGTCTCTGTTAAAGTAAAATGAACAGGATTTGCTGAAGAAATGGACAACTCCAATTGGGACACGCCAATCAAGCACACAGCATATGGCAGCCTAGGAGGAGGAGGGGTCTATGCACAACATGCCGGAACTTCCGAGCACATTTTAGGGTTGGTTGATGTTTCGTGATAGCCAGTAAAACAACACTCATGTCCTTTTTAACACCAGTCATTTCTTTTTTTTTTTTAATATAGAATTTTATTTAAAATTTAAAATCATTTCTATACACAATATACAATAAAACTTATGGAGAATATAACCTTCAAGAACTTGCAACTTACATACTTAGACAATTAATATGCAATACCTCCTGCACTATTAGAAACAAAATGTATCTGCATTTTTCCAAATATCCTTTTCTAAGTGAGTAATTTCCTTTTTTGAGCATGCTATTATTAGGTGGCCCTTTTTCCCCTTAAAAGACAAAATATAAAACAAGCAAACTATCGACCCACATCTCTTGTCTTATACCAAAAAAGACTGCTGAAAAATAAGGGGAGGGAAAGTTAAATAAAAATTATTAATGTTTACTCATTCTAGTCTACCTATACTTATTTTCAGGCTACTTCTATTTATCTATTTCTTTGGATAAACTACAAATCATATTTTTGTGGATTTAAATGTATTTAATTTTGCTTAATCACTCTTGTGAAGGAATATTATAGTTTTTCATTTTACTGAAAATGGAAAAAATAATAATTAAATTTAATGCCAATACAGAAGCATATAGTTTTTTTTTAATGGATGCTCCTTTTAATTTATTTTTTAAAATAAATTTATTGGGGCTCATACAATTCATCACAATACATAGATCAATTGTGTAAAGCACATCTATACATTTGTTGCCCTCATTATTCCCAAAATTCGCTTTCCTCTTGGGTTCCCGGAATCAGCTCATTTTCCTTTTTCCCCCTCCCCCACTTCCCCCTCTTCCCCTCCAGTCATTTCTTATACAAGGATTCAGGGACAGTGTAAACAAAAATTTTCCTAGGAACATTCTGTGAGGCAACATTTCACATATTTAATCTTCAAAGTTTCTCTAGCAAAATAAATCAAGGTCCATGTGCTTGTGGGAAAGGAGAAGCAGGGTCAGAATGGAGTCTGATTTCAAATAATGGCACCCATTCCATTCTTGAGAGTCGTAAGTGTCCAACAGGCTCCTGACAGACCTGGTTCGATCAGCCATCACCAGGTTGCCTGTGCTAGAACTTCAGTGAGTACTCTGGGGTCTGACTTCTTTCACTTGGCATCACTTTGGGGTTTGTTTTCCCCACCTCTCATCAAAGTCTTATTACCATCATCACCACCTCCACCCCCTCCTCCACCACCCCCTCCTCCACCACCCCCATTCATTCCTCTCCTGAGCTAGAACAATAAGAAAAGCCTCTGGTATCTAACAGTTAAGGAACCTGGTGGCTCAAGGGTTAAGAGTTAGTTGCTAACCTAAAGTTTGAGGTTCAAACCTACCCCGCTTCTTTCATGGCCAGAAATACCTGCTTTAGGTATTACATCCAGGAAAACCCTCTGGGAAATTCTACTGTGTCACTTGAGGTCACTATAGAGTTGATTCTAACTTGATGGCCCCTCACAACATCCTAGCAGTTCATAATGATTTCTGTGCTCTGGTCTGACCCTCGTCTTGCATGAGGAGAGAGCATCTGTCCATCTACCTGTCCTTCTGTCCATCCACCCATCCTTCCATCTATCCATCATCCATCCATCATTCCATCCTTCCATCATTCGTGCCCCATAAAAGCATCTCTCCGGCACCATTTTTGTGTCAGGCGCTGGGTGCCAAGAAGGGAGCCGCTGTCGCTGTGGGGTGGCCTCGAGGCTCCGGAGAGCTTCACAGCGAGAAGGCATTTGGGCAGGAAGTTTGAGGAACGGATCGAAGTTCGTGGGGAGGGTGTAAAATACTCCATCCTGCAGGGAGCACGCCTCGAAGTGGAAGTGAACAGCACATCTTGAGAGAACCGCTGGTTGACGAGGTTGGCATGCGGGCTGCACCCGGGCCGAGGCGGGAGACAGTCGCGGCTGCGTCCCAAGGGCCGGGGACGCTCCCACACGGTCCGCGCGGGGTTCGTTCGGCGGGCGAGGAGGGTGGTGGGTCAGCCTGATTGGAAAGGGTCGCCGGCCGTGGCAAGGAGCAGGGTCAGAGGCGTGGCCAGGCTGACAGCGCTGGGGCCAGGTGCCCGCACACAGGGCCCGGGGAGGGCCGAGGGAGGACGCCTCCCCGTTAGGATGTGGGAGCGTCTTTTCCTCCCGCTGAGCGTCACCTGACGCCGCGGGGGGCGGGGAAGAGGAACCCGACCCGCCGGGTCCGGGGCCCGTCAATGTGTAATCCGAGGGGGTGGCCCGTGGGCGCCCGGGTGGCGTGATCTCCCGAGCCCCGCCGAACCCCGCGCGGCCACACCCGCGCCCCAGATTTCCCTAGGCGTTCGGGCGCCCGGGCTTGCAGGCTGGAGGAGCGAACCGGACCGGAGCCGGACCGACGGACAGACAGACAGCCCCCTGCGGAGCGCAGCGGCTCGCCGGCGGGTCTGGTGTGCGACCCCCCTCTCCCCTCCCCCCAGCCTTTCCTGCGGCCTCGATGGGCGCGGGGGGCCGCGGGGGCCGCTGCTACTGCTGCTGCTCGTGCCGCTGCTGAGCCCCGCGGGCATCGGCGCGCAGCCAGACGCGGACGCCGACGACGAGGACCTGGCGCTCGCCTTCGCATCCGAGGAGGACGGGCCGCCAGACGTGGCTCAGCACGCTCCTCCGGCCGCCTTCCACCACTGCGCCAAGGTGGGCCGTGGCAGCGGGCCGGGCTGCCCTGTGGGTGGTGAGGGGGCGGTCGCCGCTCCAGCCGCAGGCCCCCGAAGTCAGCGCAGGGCTGGAGTGCAGGGCTCGCTCGCGGGGCTGGGGGCTTGGGGAGGCCTGCGCTTTAGGGTGCTGGAGAGGGACAGGGGACCGCGAGCAGGGGTAGGAGACAGGGAGAGAGGAGCAGGTGCAGCATCGCCGCCCACAATCCAGGTATCGGGCACCTCAGACACCCTGGCGCTTCAATGAACTGCAGCCCGGAACACGCTCAGTGGCTTGGTGCTAAAGGCCCTGATTTCTTTCAAGAAGTACGCTCCTGGCTGAAACTTGGGGGTGTGGGGGGCGGCAAGCCTGAGGGTCTTGGAGAGAGAGGGGGTGCTCTGGTTGGGAAGACTTGGCCAACGATGGGGTGGGAGGCAATTTCTTCCTTCTAGGCACCCTGTAGCTAAGAGGGCTCCGTTTACAGCCACAGAGAAGACTCAAGGGGCGGAGTACCTGTGGGGACCCAGGGCTGCTAGGTGCTGGCTGTTGGTTGTGCCCACAGTTTCGTTTTTGCCCGACTGCCAAAGTGTTGCATCAACTATGCTAATACTAATAGTTGCCCTCTACGTGGGTCTGTGGTCTGTGTGTGTGTGTAATTCTAATATGGCTAGTTTCTCTTTGTAGTTTGTTATACTTCATTGTGTCTCGTTTCTTTTTGTTGGGATTCTAAATAGAGGTGGGATACAAGCTCATGCAAGTTTTTTAATTTATTTATGTTCTGTCACCGTGTCCCTCCTCCCTGCCTGGGGCCAGGATGCGTGGCGGCTGCCCTGCACCTACGTGGTGGTGCTGAAGGAAGAGACGCACCGCTAGCAGACCGAGCACACTGCGCACCGCCTGCAGTCGCGAGCTGCGCGCCGGGACTACCTCACCAAGATCCTGCACGTCTTCCACGGTCTCTTCCCCGGCTTCCTGGTGAAGATGAGTGGCAATCTACTAGACCTGGTGAGCCCCCTGGGGTGGGCGCCTCCTGAAGGGGCAGGGCCACTAAGTACGTGCAGGCAACATCCGAGTGTGCCCTTGAAGACATCCACAAGGAGACAGGGAACACTTACGGAACGCTTACTGGCTTACTTACTGTGTTTCTCCATAGACACCCCAACACACTCTGGTAATGCCTTCATCTTCATGTGAGAGATGAAGAGACTGAGGTTCAGAAAGGACCACACAGCCAGCCAGTTAGACGCAGGGTCAGGGTCAAATGCGTGTGAGCCTGCCCTGAGGGAAGGCTGCAGGGATGGGGGCGTGTGGCACACAGTGGGACTCAGGGCCCAGAGGCAGGAATGCTTCTGACATGGCTCTTCTCAGCCAATGTCACATCTTTGGTGAAGGAGCAGAAAGGGGCCTGAGGTAGTATATTCATGAATATATATAGGTTTGAAAGGCGATTTTGAAATATGTATTTACATGTGCTGCAACTATATCCATGCATATACAGGGGCAACGTTATGAAAGGTTGTTAGCTATAACCAAACACCTTATGGAAGCCAGTTGCCAAGTTCGGAGCATTGTTTTGAGGGACACCAAGGCCAACTGGCATCATGTAGGTCACAAAGACAATCTTCTACATCCCACTTTGGTGCGTAGCAAGTGGGGTCTACAAAGCTCATAAGGGGCATCTACGGTGCAGCTAACTATCGGTCCTTCCATATCTGGAGCACAGAAGGAGTGAAGAAAATAAAAGACGTATGGAAACCATTAGTCCAAAGGGTAATGGACCACGGGATCCAGAGCCTCTGTGATCTTGAGACTCTGTAAGGCTCTACAGGACAGAGAACTGATCCAAAGGGTTTTAGGACCGCCCATCTTTCTGGGAGCAGACAGCCTCATGCTTCTCCCGGTGGAGCAGCCTGTAGGTGTGAACTGCTGACCTTGTGATGGCTAGAAGCTCCGCTCCTAGCCCACTGCCCCACCAAGACTCCTTGCACTACTGTCCAAGAAACTACCACCACCCGCTGCCATTGAGCCAATTCCAACTCAGATGCAGGGGCGATGGATCTCCTCTCACACACACTGGGCACAATATGGGGAGCCGTGGTGGCATCGTTTTTATGTGTTGAGCTGCTACCCTCAAGGTCAGCTGTTACCCTCAAGGTCAGCTGTTGGAAATGACCAGCCACTCCGCTGGAGGAAGACTCTTTACTCCTGTGAAGAGTCACAATCGGAAACCCTCAGGGGCAGTGGACTCTCTCCTATCGGGTTGCTATGAGTCTAAATCGGCCCAATAGCAGTGAGTGAGTAAATGCGGGCATAAAATACTTAATAATTAAATGTGAAATTAAATTAAATTCATCTCATTACCAAGCAGCCATCTAAGTGAGATATCCACTAAGCACACATGGAAGAAGCGCACCAACATCCCTGTGATCCACGGATTGTAAATAATGCAATTAAAATCTAAAGGAGGGCATAATATCAGAGTTCAAATTGTGAGATTCAGGTGTGCATACAGCTATGGGTGACAGTGGAAGCCCAAAATACATTTGCAGGATCTACACAGGGAATAAGCCTCTGGTGATTTCCCTCTGGCCATAATTGAGGGATGGGAATGACCTGGTTATTCGACAGAGCAGCATATGGGAAAGATGACTACAAGAAAGTCTGACTCAGACACTTACAACCGTGTCACTTGATCTCCCTTCTGATCTACTTTGGGCTTGATTTGGTTTTTATACTTCGTGTGTTTTTCTGTCCCATGTTGGAGTTTGTTTCTGTTGCAGTTTGTCATTATTTTTTTTTAAAACATTTTATTAGGGGCTCATACAACTGTTATCGCAATCCATACACACATCAATTGTGTAAAGCGCATTTGCACATCGTTTCTCAAAACATTTTCTCTCCATTTAAACCCCCGACATTAGGTCCACATTTTTCCCTTCCCTCCCTGCTCCCCCCTCCCGCATGAGCACTTGCTAGTTTATAAATGGGTATTTTGTCATATCTTGCCCTGTCCGACGTCTCCCTTCATCCACTTTTCTGTTGTCTGTCCCCCGGGAGGAGGTCCCTTGTAATCGGTTCCCTCTTTCCTACCCACCCTCCCTTTATACTATTTGACTCTTTGCTACGTGCTTTTCTGTTTTTCGGTGTATAAAACCTGGGGTGGGTGAATAATATAGAGACAACAAATGAAGTAAAAGTTCTGGGGGAGATGCTGGGGAAAGTGGGCAGGGGAGGATGGGGGGCTGATATCAAGGAGTTCAGGAAGGAAGAATATGTTTTGGAACTGATTTGGGTAGCACTTGTGTAACACTGCTTAATGTGATTGAACTATGGTATGGTATAATGTCTGCATTAGTTTCTAATAAAATGGTTTGGTGACATAATTAATTAATTTAATGAAATGAAATGCTTAAACCTTTCAAAAAATTTATCTCCTTAGATGAACCATTTTTTATAATAGTAGCTTGATGGTACATTTTATTACATTACTAATATCAAAACATTATGTTAACCAATTCACATTATATTTAAACATATTGTCTTTCATTGTAGAATATACTTTTTTAATGGATTGAGATCACATGAATTACTTTTCCAAGTTTTAATTTTTAATTCTTCAAAATGTACCCATGAGAATTTTGAAACACTGCTTGATTCATCTTCTAATTACATTTGTGATTTTATCTAATTATGGTTAGGTAATTATTTCCTCAAAGACAACTAGAAATCATCAACAGATTTAAAGACACCCTGGGATTGATTTCTATAACTTAAAGTAACTTTTTTTTCTTTCACTCTGTGCTGAGATCACATTAAAAGCTTTATGTGTACCAATCCTTTTCATTCTTCCAGTGGCTCTGTGCTGGAGGTACTAGGTCAGCCCATTTCATGGATGAGACAATCAAGGTTAATTCATTTGCCCAAGGTCACACTACGAGTAGCTAAGATTTACGAACAGGCTGTCTGTCTGCAGAGACCAAGATCATCGTGACTTTGCTAACCTTTTTTTTAAATCACAAATGATGTCATTAAAGACTATACATTAAAAGCAAAACTACTCATATAGGCCCATGTTGATGATAAATAGGTAGGTTAAATGAGCAGGTTCTTAGATAGTATATTTGAGACTATAAATATAGGAACAGATAGCTTCACCTTTCTCCTGTGGAGCAGCTGGTGGGTTTGAACTTCAGAGCTTGTGGTTAACAGCTCAGAGCTTAACCCACCTGGGTGCCTTCCTCCTTACCAAGCACGTCCTAGGTACTCAGGACACAGAGATGAGGCCCACCCAGCTCTTTCCTCTGAATCCCAGTGAGGAGAGGCTGACCCAGGATTGGGATTGTCATGCAGTGTGCTCTGTGCAGTGGCAGGAACGAAGAGGTGTTGATCAGGTGGCCAATGAGCACGCGCTCACCGGCCAGGGCAGCTTTTCAGGGGAGGGGAGAGGAGAGCTGAGTTAGCGGCCCCAGACATTGCGCATCCAGAGCTGGGCTTGAGTCTTGGGCAGGTTCCTTCAGTCTGATCTGTAGAATAATGACAAGCTTTGGACCACCGTGAGAAGAATGGGAACGTCAGAGCACTTCATGGTGCCCATGCGGAATCTGGACATGGACCAAGAGGACAGTCGTTTGAGCAGAACAAGGGAATCCTGAGTGGTTTAAAATCAGAAAAGGTGTATCCTGTCACCATCCTTACTCCCTCTGTGTGCTGAGCAAAGAATCCGAGAAGCTGGTCTATATGAAGAACATGGCATTGGGATGGGAGGACAGTTATTGACAACCTCTGATATGCAGATGACCCAGCCAGGAGGACCTGAAGCCTCTGCTGATGAAAACCAAGGACTGCGTCTTCCTCAACATAAAGAAAACAAAACCCCCCACAACCGGACCGGAGACAGCAGCGTGATCAATGGATAAGAGATTGGAGCTGTCAAGGGTATCGTGTTGCTTGGATCCGCAGTCAGTGTTCATGAATGAAGCAGTCAAAAAGTCAAACCACACATCGCCTTAGGCAGATCTGCTGCACAAGTGCTGGATAACAAGGGCTTCGCTGAGAAGGCGCAGGTGCGCTTGAGCCCAGCCTGATCTGTTCAGCTCTCTTCCACGCATCTGAAAGTTGGACAATGAATAAGGAAGATCAGCGAATAACACGTGCATTTGAATTATGGTGCTGGGGAAGAATGTCGAAACGGACTTGCACCCAAATGAGAATGCTCTTGGGCTAAATCTGCATTTGAGTTTTCTAAACAGAATACAAGCCTCTTAGCAGCCCTTTGAAAGAATGCATGAACAGGCAGGGGAATGCGGCACAATGCAGAAGGAAGCCCGAGGGAGCACTGATGCACGCCAGTGCGGCGTTAGTGCAGAGTCTCGCCGGTCCCGGGACTGAGAGTCAGCGAAAAAGAAGGGAGAGCCCCTAAGAGCTACAGTGTCTGCAACAACGGACTCAAGCAACACTGGGGAGGATGGCGCAGGCCAGGCCAGTGTGGTCTTCTGCTGGACACGGGGTTGCTATGGGCCAGGACCAACCTGACCACCCCTAAAAGCAACAGTCCTTTGTGACTGTGCCGTGTTTCAGCCAGCTACAGAAACTCACTGAGGGGTGAAGGGTGCAGGCAGCTCCCGGAGGCTTCCAGAGTGCCATGCCACCACCAGGTCTGAAGGGCAAGAAGAGGAAATGGTGTTTCCGAGGCCTGAGTGAGCTGTGCTGGAGGAGGAGGCATTCAGCGGGGCGTGTGGTCAGGGAAAGATGCAGCCCTGGTCAGCGGAACCCTGTGCTATGGTTCAGGGGAAGCACTCTTGTCCCCCAGCCTCCAGCTCGTGCCGCTGCAGGCAAAAGCCACTGCAGGGGAGCCTGGCTACCTCCTTCTGCAGGCTCAGCCTCCTGGGCTCTGAGCAGGGCAGAGAAGAAGGGTGGGGAGGGGGTCTGGGGCAAACAGCATGACCGGCACAGCTACCATGATAGGGGTTGTGTCTAAGTCCTAAGTCCCACTTCTTGTCCAGTTTGCCCAGAGCCTGCTACCCACACCAGATGTCAACTGGAGGCTCCTTCCTCAAAGATCTCTGAGGCTGATTTACTGGAGCTCTGGGCTGTTCACCTGCTGGGGGTGTGAGAAAGCCGTGGTCCCCAGCACAGGACAGCAACGGAGTTGTGGTTGTGCCCCGGGAACAGGCTTGATCCAGCAGGGACGAGAGCCACGGTTGCACTTGGCTTTGGGGTCAGGTTCCCGGCCACCTGTCCCCTGCAGGCACTGAGGCTGCCCCGTGTCGAGTACATCGAGGAAGACTACTCTGTCTTTGCCCAGAGCATCCCGTGGAACCCGGAGCGGATTATCCCTGCGCGGTACACGGCGGGTGACTACCAACCCTCGAGTAAGACCCCCGTGTCCCCCATCCCTAAATCCAAGCTGAAAGCCCACTTGTTCTCTCTTGCTCCTCCCTGCCTGTGGTCCATACCTCGCAGGCCCCTTAGGACTCCACCTTCTTTCTGTCCCACTCTCCACCTGCGGCTCCTGTGTGTCAGCATTCCCCCAGGAGGGGGCAGGAACCTGGGCCTAAATGAGTCCCTTCTCCACCTTCTAAGAGTTCTTATTTAGGAGCCCTGGTGTTGCAGTGGTTACAGGTTGGGTTGCTAACCTTGAGGTCAGCAGTTCGAAACCACCAGTCACTCCACTGGAGAAAGATGGGTCTTTCTACTCCCATAAAGAATTACAGCCTCAGAAACCCACAGGGGCAGATCTACCCTTTTCTATAAGGTTGCTATGAGCTGGCATCGCCTTGATGGTGATGAGTTTGGGTTTTTTGGGAGGAGGCAGTGAGGAGAAGCCGAGGTGAGGCTGGTAGGACTGCTGGTGCCTTGGGCAAGAGCAAAAGGAACAGCCTGGCCACGTGGCAGGGCATGGCTGGAGCCGCTTCTTGCTCTAGAGGCATGCACTTGGGGCCAGAGACTGCAGGGCTTCCTGGGCCCGGTCTGAGGCCTCAGCCCAGATCCTGGGCCAAACTCAGGTGGGATGTGACCTCACAGTCTCAGAGGCCCAGAGCCTGCACTGGAGCCGCTCCATGGAGCAGATGCTGCCCTCCGAGCCTCAGCATCCTGGGGTCCACAAGACGGCCCTGAGCTGCACGTGCACCTGACTGTGCTCACCACCTCTAGAGAGAGAAGCCGATCTGTGCTCCGCCCTTAGCCCACTGACATGTCGTTGGTCAGCCGGGGAGCCCTGAGGGCAGGCCTGCCCCCAGCAGCCGGGGTCAGCTCCTAGCTCCCCATCTCCTTCAGTGGCAGGTTCAGAGGTGTCCCAGCACCTGGTCTGGGGCCTCAGCTCAGGACACTTACCCTGCATGGACCAGCCCCCACTTCTCCAGCCTCACTGTGTAGCTCTCCCTGCTTAGTACCCAGTGCCTCCTCTGGGGTGACGAGCACCCTTTGGCCTCCAGGTGCCCTAGGTCTGGGTGGTGTGGCACCTAGCACATGCCCACTGATGGGTGAGAACTCCTCATGCCCTCAGAGGAGGCATTTGAGAACAGCCTGCCTGCTGGGAGGGGAGGCCGAGGCCTGCAAAGCTGTCTGGATTGATCCCGGGGCAGCTGAGGGGCTCATGAGTCCTGGGTCTGGAGGTTGTGGCATGTTGCATGATGAGCGCACACGTGGGGTGCTGCCAGCCTGGGCAGACTGTAACTGGTCTGCACAGGGCATGGGTAGGGGGTTGACTTTACCTGACGTCAGCCGTGGGGCGGGGTCTCAGAGCAGTCATGGAACCAGTTGGCAGGGTGCTGCCTGGTGGCCCCAAAGGATGGGTCCACCCAGAACCTGTGAATGTTCCATACGGAGATAAAGGCCCTCTGCAGAGGTCATCAAGTTAGGGAGCTGGAGATGAGATCCACCCGGGTTCTCTGGCTGGGACCTCATCTTGAGGCCAAACGGCCCTTGTAAGAGAAGGGCAGAGGGCGGGGAGTTGAGACACTCGGGGGCGTCAGCCAAGTGAGGACAGAGGCACCACCAGCAAGCCCCAGCTACTGAGCACCCAGAGCTGCGGCGGGCCCGAGAGCCAGGCATGATTTGCCTCTATGGTCTTTGGGGAGAGTGAGACCCTGCCAGCACCTGGGTCCCAGACCTGGGGCTTCCTGACCTGCGAGAACAAACACCTGCCGCCACTCTAATACCCCCATCGGGGGTAGTAACTGACACCAGCCTTTGCACCCTCCTCTGGGGAGAGACGAGGTTGTCCCAGAAAGACATGAGGCCCTTTCTGAACATCACTGGGTGGCCGGGGAGCAAGGCTCCACCATGGTGTCTCTTCAACCTCCCCTCCTGGGCTGCCCCAGCCTGCAACAGAGCCTGAGTGGGGCCTGAGCCGCTGCTGCCCAGAACAGCTTCCTCTAATGGGCCGTCTCTGCCTGGGGCCTCCCACTGGCCTGCTGACATGTTACCGGGCAGTGTTCTTTCACACACGGTCCTGTGACATTGCTGCAGTCAGCCTCTTCCTACCCAAACCACCATCCTTCCCATTCTCCCGCAGAGTGTCTGCAGGCTCTACCCTCCCCGCCCTTCCCCGTTGGCTCAGCACAGGCCTGTCTCCCAGTCCACCCCCTGCCCCGAGTCCCACCTTTGTGCTGCCTCTTGGACAGTCTGAGCTGACTCCATTAGAAGGGCTTTCCTCCTGGGCAACTTGTTGGGGGCAGAGAACCACAGACTTGGGGCCAAGAGGTCCAGGCTCACGCATTTTCTCTGAGCCTCTGTTCCCCACCTGTGAGACTACAGGTTAGCCTTTTATTAGCTAGCTCAGCCTTCTGTTCTTCAATTCATTGCCACAGGGTGACTTTAAACACATTGCTTAACCTCTGTGGACTTCTGTTTTGTAATTAGTTCATATGTGTTAACTCTTGGAACGGACTGCAAGGCACTGAGCTGGGCTGCGTTGACCGCATCGTTGTTATTAATCACTGTGATGCTTGGCCGGGCTTGGGGCTTCTAGGCGAAGACAGACTGGGAAGAAAGACCTGGTGATCTACTTCTGAAAATCAGTCGATGAAAGCCTTCTCCATGAGAGGGGTCTGATCCCATCGTATGTGGGGTCGCCACAAGCTGGGCACAGGCTCCATGGCAGCTGACGCCACAGCAGCAGTACGTGAACTACTTCATTCATGTTTTCAGGATCACATTACCCTCTCCCATTAACTCCGCCTTGGAAAGATGGCAGCGGCCTGGTGGAGGTATATCTACTAGACACCAGCATCCAGAGTGGTCACCGGGAAATCGTGGACAGGGTCACAGTCATCGATTTTGAGAATGTGCCGGAAGAGGATGGGACTCGCTTCCACAGGCAGGTAAGTGGCCCCTGGGCCACAAACGACAGGAAGAGGACTGCCCCCGCCCACCCCACCCCGCCCCCCGCAGGTGGGTGGGGACTGCTTCCTGCTCCTCTACTGCCCTGGCCCCCACCTGTCATTGCCCATCCCCTGTCCTCAGCAATTGGGTGGGAGTGCCCAGGCAGGTGGGCCATCTCACATGGACCTTGTGTTGGTTGAACAGGCGAGCAAGTGTGACCGCCACGGCACGCACCCGGCAGGGTTGGTCAGCGGCCGGGATGCCGGTGTGGCCAAGGGCACCAGCCTGCATGTACTCAACTGCCAAGGGAAAGGCTCCGTCAGCAGCACTCTCATGGGTGAGTGGTGCCCGGCCTGCGGCCCTGCTCTCTCTGCGTCTGCGCTGCTGTGGGGAGTGGCTCCAGCCCAGAGAAGTAGCAAGTCCTGATCCAGAAGTCCCCTCGGATCAGAGCTGGTTGGGCTCCCATGGGCACCGATAGGGAAACCAAGGCTCAGAGAGGGCAGGACCTCAGCCCAGTCCCCACTGCTCTGACTCCTGAGTCTTCCTACAACTTCCCACACTGTCCCTCTTCTCCCCTTCTGAAATCCTGCAAGATTTGGTGTCTTGTCTTGCTTTTTCAGGACTGATGGACCCTTGAGGTTATCTAAGCAAATGTCTCCATCTTCTGCTTGCATGTCCCTAAATTATAAGGTGACCAGACGTCCCGCTTTTGGCGGGACAGTTCCAATTTTTAACAATTTCCCCACATCCCGCAGCATTTTTAAGAAGTCCCGATGTTTGGAAAGAATGCACGACAAGCTAGGGTAGACGGTTTTCGGCTGCTATGTGGCTATTTCGCCAGGATATGGGTTTTATCAATGGTGTCCCGCTTTTGTCCCGCTTTACCAATGTTAACATCTGGTCACCTTACCCTAAAACCGAGGGACTCACTCCCTTGCATGACTGATTGGGACCTGCACACTACCCTAGCCAGGCAGACTTGGTAGAGAGACTGGCAGAGGATTTTTCCAAAACTTTTGCAGGCCACTCCCTCAGGTGCCCCTGCCTGGGCCCAGGTGCCATCTAGCTGAGAGCCAGGACTCCGGGGCCTGAGGACAGAGAGGAGGGAGGGCACTCTCATTCTCAAGTGCCTCCCGCAATCAGACGCTGAGTGGGAGAGCTTGTGCACGTGCCTTGAGGCTGCCTCCGTGATCCCTGTTCAAGAGCAAGGAAAACTAGCCCAGAGAGGGAGGTGACTTGTCCTGGGGCTATTGGCCTCACTGGAGAAGGTGCAGGCTTGGTCTCCACTGCAAGCACACCTGTGTGGGCACCCCCTCGCCCCCACACCTACCGAGGCAGCCCACAAGCCTATTTAAAAGGCTAGGAAGGCCCAGGAGTCAGTCTGGGGGTCAGTGAGCTTTGCCTGAGCTGTGTCTATGTGGAGAACAGGTCTTGATGTTGGATTTTTTAAAGGCAAGAACCAATAAGGCCCTGCCCCACTCCTTTACTGACTGACCCACGCTGAGGCAGGCCAGTCCCAAAGGTCAGTGGGAGGAAGAGAGGCCACACTCCCAGAATCCCTCTCTTCATGAAAGATCTTCTTGGGTGGCGACTTCTAGAGGTAGATCACATGCTGTCTTTCAGGCCCTGGTCTGTGTGAAGCCCCTGACACACAGCCTAGGTCAGAGCAGTGCTCGGTAAACAGTGGCCATTACAGTCATTAGCGCCTCTGTAGGCTGGCCATCCAGGAAACACGTGTCAGGTACTAAGCACGGTGATACACAGCACACAGTAGGTGCATAATAAACAGCAGCTGTGACTGTGGTGCTCATTAACCCCTCCCTGGTTCTATTCGGCTCTCCTTGGTACAAACCCCTGGTACCAACTCCAGCTTCCATCTCGGCCAGAGGTTCTGGGGAGGTCTCAGAGGCCCAGATCCAAAAGGTCCTGAGAGGTCAGCCAGGCCGCACCTGATTTGACAGAGGACAAGCTGTCACCTTTCGACCCCTGGCACCTCAGGGATCAAGCTGAACCCAGGCCTCCAGGCTCTAGGCCGCAGGGTCAGAGCCCACGGGCTAGGGAGGGGTGAGAACCATCCCACGGTGGCCCTACCCGGTGGGCTGCAAGATGCGCTGGCGAGGGCAGCAGAGGGGAGGGTGTGCTTGTGGTGGGGGTCCAGGCCCCACCAGCTCCAGGGTGTGCCTCTGTCTTTTAAAGACCATGTACATCACTGCCGTCTCTGCAGTGTCCGTCGCTATAACTCAGCGACATTGACTGGACTCGTCACTTTGCAGTTCCAAATCTCCATCACCACAACTCAGCTTTGCCCGAAGTCCCCGTAGTCCCCCCACCTCTCCCTTGGAAGCCACAAATGCACTTTGACCTCTGTGCACGTGCTTGTTCTAGATCAGCCGTTCTCAACCTGTGAATCGCAACCCCTTTGCGGGTCGAAGGACCCTTTCACAGGGGTCGCCTAAGAACATCGGAAAGCACATTATTTCTGATGGTTGGGGGTCACCACAACATGAGGAACTGTATGAAAGGGTCGCGGCATCAGGAAGGTTGACAACCACTGTGCCAGATACTTCAGATAAAGGGGATCAGACAATGTTTGCCCTTTGGTGGCCGATTTACTTCCCCCGTGTGAGGCTTTCCTGGTTTCTCCAGGCTGTAGCAGGTCGCGGGACGGTCTCTGTCGAGTCACAGCGACAGAAGGAACGCGGCCGGGCCCCACCCCGCATGATTCTGCTCCTTAGGACTCAAGTGCTCTCTCAGTGCACTCCCCGACTGATGGGCGCTTCGATCCTCCCACCCCTGTCCACCTCGCAGAGAGAGGGAGTGCTGCAAGGAACGCTGGGGCGCAGGCACCTACCTGCTTGCGCGCTAGGACAGCCCCTTGGGGTGCGTGTGAGCACGGCCTGCCGCTTGTCACTTGAAAAGTCCTTTGCACCTTCATATGGACTTCGGGTGTGCACTGACAACGCACTGCGGTTTTGATCGGTGTCGTGGGCTACGCATTGGGCGGCTAACCTCAAGAAGATGCATTCGAAACCGCCAGCAGCACCGTGGGAAACAGCCGAGGCCTTCTGCTCCCGTAAAGATGCGCAGACTCAGAAACAGCCCGCCCCGTTCTCCTCTGTCCTCCGACATAGACATCGCTGTGAATCCGAATGGCCTCGAGTTGTTATTTTGGTTTCACCCCCCCCCCCCCACACACACAATGTGGTGTAGAAGTAGCCCTGGTGGCGTACACAGTGGGTTCTGTATTGGGCTGTTAACCGCAAGGTCAGTAGCTCGAACCCACCAGCCTCCTCTGGGGATAAAGATGAGGCTCTCTGCTCCCATAAAGATGTTTGGTTTCAGAAACCCCAGGGGCAGTTCCACCTGTCCTTCAGGGTTGTCAGGAGTGGGGCACCCACCCAGTGGGATTGAACCACAGGACTGTATGTGAACGGACATCGTGGAATGAGTTAGCTGTGTCTGTTAAAAAAATATTTTTAAATAGCAGGAGGGTTCAGGTGAACGTAGCACAGGAGTCCCGATGGCACAGTGGCTAAGTACTGAGCTGCTAACTAAAAGGTTGGGAGTTCGAACTCACTAGTTGCTTTTCAGGAGAAAGATGAGGCAGTCTGCTTCTGTAAAGACTTACAGCCCTGGAAGCCCCGTGGGAGCATCCCACTCTGCTCTGTAGGGTCACTCTGAGTTGGAATCCACTCGCCGGTGTGGGAGCACTGTTGCGTGTGCTAATTGGTTATTTGTATTGCATGGTTAGGGTTCTTGTTCTTTTTACACTCTTGATAGCAAACCTTTATCATATATGTTATCAAAAATCTCCCAATTTGAAGCTCTCTCTTAACTTTGTGGACAAAGTGTTGGATGAAAAAAACAATTTAATTGTGATGGCATCCTGGGGAACCCCTTAATCCTCACCGAAATCTGAGGAGCTGTGGCCCCTACTAAGAGGGTCTATCACAGGGAGGTCACACAGCTAGTGAGGGGTGGGGGTTGGGGGGCCAGGGCTTGCAAGAGCGTGGGGTGGGGGTGAGGGGTGGGAAGTGAGCAGGCGTGGCTCTCTCAGTGCCCTGGGGCTGCTGCTGTGCAGGAGTCCCCGCAGGGAAGGGCTCTGAAGCTCAGAGGCTCATTCTCTAAAAGTTCTGAAGGCTGACAAGGCCAAGTCAGCGTCTCAGTTGTGTGATTCCTTCCCTGTGGTCCAACTCTTGGCTTGTAGATGAGCCCACACATGATACCTGTCTCCCCCAAACCTCCTTTCACCCCTATGCCGTGTGTGTGATCAGCTTGCTTGCTTTTCTTAGATTTAGAACCCAATCCTATTTCGTTCTGCTTGATCAGAACAAAGAAAACCTTCTTTCCAAGGGGAACAGCCTGCAGGTATTAGAGGGATGACCTCCCTGCCATCGAGTGGATTCGACTCCTGTGACAGGGTAGAATGGTCCCTTTGGCTTTTCAACACTTTAAATCTTTGTGGGAGGAGACAGCCTCATCTGTGGCCTGAGGACTGGCTGGTGGGTTCGAACCAATGAGCTTGTGGTTAGCAGCTCAGTGTAGCCCACTACACCACTAGAGCTCCAAGACACTGGTTCACCCTTAAAATTCTAGAAATTTCAATGGAAGTTTCCATTAGGACTGACAGAAAGCAAGGCTGTGGAGGTCAGAGATGGGGCAAAGCAGGGCCCCCTTCCCTTTCCTGGGAGGCCTGAAGCGCTAAGTGCCCCAGCTTCTCAGCTTGGGAAAACAGCGGAGTGGCGGAGTGCGTTAGGGAAGGACAGCAGGTTCGAGCCCCACAGCTGCTCTGCAGGAAGACGAGGCAGCCGGGCCTCTGGCACCCTCTCTGGGGTGGCTGCGAGTCACAGTGGACTTGGGAGCAGCAGGTTCGTGGCGCTGTTACTGGATTCTGAGAATGGGCACTTCGAGGTGACAGCCTGAGACCCCCTGGTGGCACAGAGGTTACGTCTTGGGCTTTGGTCCCAAAGATCAGCAGGTCAAACCCCCGTTATTCCTTGAGAGAAAGAGGGGGCTTTCTGCTCTTGTAAACAGTGCAGTCTTAGGAACAGGGCAGACCTACCCTGTCCTACAGGGTCATTCACTATGAGTCGGCATTGAGTCAAAGGTCCTGACGTTTGTTTGAGAGATGGAGGGAGGCCCATTGGCTGATTTACTGCTGCCATGTTGTGTGTCTGGGGAGGTCGGGGTGGTGGCAGTGACCAGAGGACCGGCATCTCCTCAGGGAATGACTTGGGCTTTGTCTTCTCAGGCCTGGAGTTTATTCAGAAGAGCCAGCAGGCCCAGCCTGCAGGGCCGCTGGTGGTGCTGCTGTCCCCGGTGGGCGGGTACAGCCGGGTGCTCAACGTTGCCTGCCAGCGCCTGGCCAGGGCCGGGGTGGTGCTGGTCGCCGCTGCTGGCAACTTCCGCCTGCCTCTACTCGCCCGCCTCAGCCCCGGAGGTAAGTGCTGGTGCCCATGTGTCCCAAGAGGGGCCTGGGGGGCACACTGGGTACTCCTGTGGTGTGTTCTCCGAAGGGGGTCCATCCCCCTCTGAAAGCTCAGGGGTCCCTGGCAGCCCCCTCCCCACATCAGAATTCTTTGGTGTCTGGCTGCCCCCAAGCCCCAGCCTGCTACACCAGGGCGAGGCGTGAGAGGCTGGGAACAGAGGGCCTCTTTCACAGAGGCAGCAGTCAGCAGCACCGGCCTCTGCCAAGTCCATGCTAGACACGAACCTGGAGGCTGGCAGTCTGGTGCGTGTGCATGACCTGGGCTTCACCTGACCCACATTTGCAGGCCACCCACTGCATGGTGGGACCCTGTCTAGGGTTCGGGGTCTATGGAGTGTGTGTGTGTGTTGGGCAGGGGGCTAGTGGTCCAATCACAGAGCTGGCAGCACTAATGGTTAACATGCTCGGCTGCTCGTGGAAAGGTCCAAGGTTTGAGTCTACCCAGACATGCCCTGGAAGACAGCCCGGCGACCTGCTTCTGAGACATCAGCCCTCGACAGCGTCCTGGTGCGCCCAGCTCTCCTGTGGACACACTCTTCTCAAGGCCGCTGCTTCGACCCCACTCACTGGCCTGTCAGCGCGGCCCTCTCTGGATACCCAACAGAACAAAACCAACAACGCCTGGTTCATCCGCTCCCTTCCCTCTGCCTTGCCCCATAACTACCTCACGCACCAAGGGGCTGGGGCTGGGGGCTTGTTGTCGGTCTCCTCCACTGGATGCCAGCTCCCAGGGCAAGGGTTTGTCTCTGTGGGCACTCCCAGCAGTGGGCAGAGTAGGCCCTGGAGAAGGGTAATCGTGGGGATCAGCCAGTCCAGCTGATAGGGTTTCTGTTTGTTCCTGAAGCCCCTCTGCCACCTGCCCTCTGTCTCTACCTCTCTAGGTCATCACTGTTGGGGCCACTAATGCCCAGGACCAGCCGGTGACCCTGGGAGCCCTAGGGACCAGCTTTGGCCGCTGTGTGGACCTCTTTGCCCCAGGGGACGACATCATCGCGCCTCCAGTGACTGTAGCACCTGCTTTGCATCACAGAGTGGACGTCACAGGCCGCTGCACATGTGGCTGGTGAGCTGCCCGTTGCTCACCCCCTTGAGCCACCATGATTCGAACAGCTAAAGGTCAGGCAGGGTCTGCACCAGGCCCTCTGTGGGCCAGCCTCTCTGCCGGGCACAGGCAGCCAAAGACAAGCCAGGCCTGGCAGCAGGCGCCCTCAAGGACACTCGGTCTGTGGTGGAGACAGGTGCAGGTTCGGGGCATCAAAGATCCAGAGCAAAAAAATATATCATTGTGAATGAGGCAGAGCACGGAGTAGAGACCCAAAGCCCATCTGCAGGTAACTGGACATCCCCTCACAGAAGGGTCACATGGAAGAGACGAGCCAGTCAGGGTGCAGTGTAGCACCAATAAAATATACAACTTTCTTCTAGTTCTTTAATGCTTCCTCACCTCCACTATTATGACCCCAATTCTACCTAGAATTGGGCTAGACCAGAGCATGTACACAGATACAGATAGGAACTGGAAACACAGGGAATCCAGGACAGATAAACTCCTCAGGGCCAATAATGAGATTAGTGATACCAGGAGGGGAAGGGAAAGGAGGGGGGAGAAAGGGGGAACCGATCACAATGATCTACATATAACCTCCTCCCTGGGGGATGGACAACAGAAAAGAGGGTGAAGGGAGATATTGGTCAGTGTAAGACATGAAATAATAATTTATAAATGATCAAGGGTTCATGAGGGAGGGGGGAAAATGAGGAGCTGATACCAAGGGCTTAAGTAGAAAAAAAATGTTTTGAACTGATGATGGCAACAAATGTACAAATGTGCTTGACACAATGTATGTATGCATTGTGATAAGAGTTGCATGAGCCCCCAATAAAATGATTAAAACAAAAAGCATAGAGAAGCCAGGACTAGGGCACAGGGAGCCCGGGTGAGGTGGGGTGAGGTGGGCACCTGACCATCCTGAGGACCAGAGGAGGAGTGTCTGAGCTGGGCACGGAAAGATAGATACAAGGTTTTCAAAAGCAAACAGCAATTGCCAAAGCCTAGGGGTGAGTGCATGGAGTCCTGGTGGCACAGTGGTTATGCTTTGGGCTGCCAACCACAAGGTCAGCAGTTCAAAACCACCTGCTACTCTTTGGGAAAAAGACGAGGTTTTCTCCCCACCCACCTCCCAAGGACTCAGAATAACGAAACTCACTGCCATCAAGTCATCTGACTCCTCGTGACCCTGTGACACACGGGCAGAACTGCCCCTGTGGGTTTCTGAGACTGACGTTCGACATGGAATAAAAAGCTTCACCTTTCTCCAGCGGAGCAAGTGGTGGATTCGAACTGCTGACCTTGAGATGACCAGCCCAAAGGGTAACTCCCTATGCCACCAGGACCCCTGCTCATAGGATTATATGCCAGGGGCTTACGTGGAGAGCAAATGTTTTGAGAATGATGAGGGCAATGAATGTTCAAATGTGCTTGATACAATGGATGCATGTATGGATTATGATAAGAGTTGTATGAGCCCCCAATAAAATGATTTTTTTAAAAAGCAAAAGAAACGCAAAGGGCAGCTTTGCCCTGTCTATAGAGTCCAGCGAGGCTTTTCTGAGCTAGAAATGTGGTAGACTAAGACGCCAGGGGTCTCACTGACTTTCACTCAGCAAGAGGCTACAGTGGCCGAGAGAAAGCTGGGTGTGTCTGTGCATGCATGTGTGTATTCGTGTGTGCATGCACACATGTGGGTAGGCGTGCATGTACTGGTGTGCGCATTGGTGTGAGTAGACACATGAGCAGAGGAGTCCCCTATTGCGGGGGGCAGGCCACCCTGTCTCTTACTGCCTGCTGCCTGACCCTCTGCCCAGGCATTGTGGCTGTAATGCTGACTGCTAAGCCAGAGCTCACCCTGGCCGAAGTGAGGCAGCGGCTGATCCACTTCTCTGCCAAGGGCTCATCAATGAGGCCTGGCTCCCTGAGGAGCAGCGGCTCCTGACCCCCAACCTGGTGGCCACACTGCCCCCACCCCACCCCCGTGCCCACGGAGCAGGTAAGTGGGTGGCCCGGGAGGTGGTGTGAAGTCTGGGTGTAGCGTGGGGAGGAGGCACAAGAACGGGCTGTCTCGGGGCTGTGTGGAGCCCCCTCAGTGTTCTGCCTGGAAGAGCAGAATCATTTCGGGAGCCCTAAGAAGAGCCCTGGTGGTGTCGTGGTCACACGTTAGGCTGTGAACCCAAGGACCGCAGTTCGAAACCACCAACCACTCCTCAGGAAAAAGACTGGACTTTGGACTCCTGTAAACAATGATAGTCTTGGAGACTCACAGGGGCAGTTCTACCCTGGCCTGTCCTTTTGTCGTGAGTCAGCATCGACTCAATGGTAGGGAGTTTGTTTTGTTTTTTGGCGGGGATCAGTGAGCAGAGCCCAGAGCCCCAGTCCTGACGCTCAGGGCGTTGTTGCAGGTGGGCAGCTGCTCTGCAGGACCGTGTGGTCAGCGCCCTTGGGGCCTCGGCGGATGGCCACAGCAGAGGCCCACTGCGCCAGTGACGAGGAGCTGCTGTGCTGCACCAGTTTCTCCAGGAGCGGGAATAGGCTGGGCGAGCACATGGAGGTGACCAGCACCCCTCCCCACCTCTGTGATCTCAGCCCAGATCAGCAACCCCACCCTGGCCTGCTGCCCCCAACCAATGTCTCCAAGCTTCAGGGGCTGCTCACGTGCCAGTACACCGCTCGGGGTTGGGGGGGAGTACCACCCAAGAAGCAATGCCTGCCTGGGCATGGAGGGCCCTCCGTGGTAGGAGGAACCCTGGCCGTGCCCTGGGCATGAGCTGGGCTTCGAGGCTCAGGTCAGCCATCGGAACCCACCTGCTGCTCTGTGGGCTTCCTAAAGAGCTACAGCCTGAGAAACCCACAGGGGCAGTTCTGGGTCCTGTAGGGTCACGATGAGTTGGGATCTACCCGAGGGCAGTGAGTTCCTTTTGGTTTGGCTGGGTGTGTGTGGGTACAGACTAGCATGGCACGGGTGCCCCGTAGGGTTGTGACTTCCAGACTCTGATTTCAAGGGTACCTTTGAAATTTCACTCACTCGTTCTGGGAGTTGAGACATCTTCTCAAACCACCACAGGGTTAAGTGAGGACCCAGGGTTTGTTGGAAAAGCAGAGGCCGAGGGTGAGGGAGAGAAGTCGGTGTCTGAGCGCACTAGGGAGTGCGTGCTGGAGAGAGCGGGGAGAGGCCTTGCCCTCAGCCATTTCCCTCTCGGTGCCTGCACCGTCAGCTTCAGGAAGACCCAAACCCAAACCAACCCCCTGCCGGCGAGTTGATGCCAGCTCTCAGCCCCCTGAATTACACGGAGCACGCTGCCCTTGTGGAGTTTCTCCTTGGCTGTCACCGACAGGCCTATCTTCTGTGGCATTGCTAGCTCTGTGGGTTTGAACCACCAACCTTCTTGGAGCACCAATGGCGCTGCCTGGGGCCTCAGAGCCAGGAAGCACTCTGCCCAGGCATCCAGCAAGCTGGCTTGGGCAGGGCTCTGAGCTCTCTGTCCCCAGAGATGTCTGAGGAAGGCTGACTGGCTTCCAGCCGGGGTGCAAGAAGTCAGGATGAGGGGCCCCTGAGACCAGCGCCCTCCATCTCATCTCAGCACTCTGACTCCCCTTCTAAGGCTGGCTCTTTTGTCTGTGCTTGGCTCCCAGGCCCGAGGGGGCAGGCGGGTCTGCCTGGCTCCCAGTGCATTTGGGGGCCAGGGTGTCTACGCTGTGGCCAGGTGCTGCTTTCTGCCCTGGGCTAACTGCAGCGTCCACACAGCACCCCCAGCTGGTTCCGGGGCAGAGACTCGAGCCCACTGCCGCCATCAGGACCACGTTCTCACAGGTAGGACTTGGGCCCCACTCTGAGGTATGCATCCAGCCCCCACTGGGCTTGGTCCTCACCCAGCATAAATAACCCTTTAACTTTGGAACCAGACAACCCTGTTCAAGACCCATTCCTACTGCTTATTCATGGTGTGACCCTGAATAGGTGACTTGGCCTCCGTCCCACCCTCTTGGCACTTTCCTTATCAGAGGGGATGGGATGGCCACCCCTGACCTCCACCCCGCCTTGGGCTGCGGGGAATTGAGCACCCATCTCCACCTGACCACAATGCCTGCCATCTTTTATGATCTCCAGTTTCCGTCCCGCATGTTTCCCCGACAAGTTCTCATCTTACCTTGACGTGTTTCCAGGCTTCTCAACTCCCACTCAGGCCCTCACGGATAGGCCAGGGACTGGGGAGAAGAGACGCTTGGTGGCTGGGTTCTCCCACCTGCACCGGCCATCCTCTGCCCTCTGCTACCGCAGGCTGCAGCTCCCACTGGGAGGCTGAGAACGTCGGCACCCACAGGCAGTCTGTGCCGAGGCCACGTGGTCAGCCTGGCCAGTGTGTGTGCCACCAGGAGGCCAGTGTGCATGCTTCCTGCTGCCATGCACCGAGCCTGGAGTGCAAAGTGAAGGATCACGGAGCTCCCAGCCCGGCCAGGAAGGTGAGGAACGTGGGCGGGATGGCGCCTGGTGTCCATCATTCTCATGGGCCTGCGTGGAGGGGTGTGTGTGTGTGATGCATGCAAACCAGCCAGATTTCTGCCTCATTCGAGGTTTGATTGAGCCCCTTAGCAAATCCTCCTGGGGCTTGGCCGGGCCCTGGAGACACAGGGATGACCCCACCAGGACACTGAGGAGGTGATGCCTGAGCTGGATTATTGTGGGGTGGAGGCCCAGCGGCATGGGAGCCCCCCAGGAACCTGCAGGAAAACTGCCTCCACTGAAACAGCTGTTGCGGGGCAACCCTGCTTGTTAAGAGCCAGGGCACCTTCTCCCAAGGAAGCCCCAGCGCCTGCTCTTTCAGTGCTCGCAGATGGCAGCATTGTGGCTCCGCTGATGCATTCCTGTGGGCAGGACTGCCCTCCTCCCCCTGTGCTCAGAGCTGTGGAGTCCAGACCCACAAACAGCCCCGCGGGGTCCTCCAGGGGAGGAGACGGCATACGGAATTGGTCAATGGCATGCGCCTAATAGGCACCAAGCGCTAAGAAGAAAGGTAGAGCAGAGGCAGGAATGGTGGCGTGCGTGATGGCTGTGGGGGGTTGTCAGGAAAGGCCTCCATGAGAAGGTTCCATTTCAGCGATGACCGAAGCACCCAGGAGGCAAGCTCCGGGGAACAGTGTTTGAGGCTGAGAGAACAGCCCAGGGAAAGGCCCTGCGGTGGCTGATGTGAGAGCAGGCAAGCCAGGGGCCCTGGCAGGAAGCTTCCCGGTGGAAGTCCTCAGAGCGGTTGGGCCGAGCAGGTCGGCCCGAGGGCCACAGCCAAGACTGGGCTTCTCCGCAGGGTTTGCGTGCAGGCAGGAGGGACGTGCCAGGTTCACTGGCCGCAGAGCTGAGTGCGGGCAGAAGCCTGGAGCCGTGGTGGGTGGCTGCACTGTGGGTGCAGGGCAGGGCACCACTCACTTCCTTGCCTCGCCCCCCCCCCCCCCCACTCCAGCAGGTGGCTGTGGCCTGTGGGGAGGGCTGGACCCTGTGGACAATACGTGTGTGGTGAGGCGCCGGGATGTCGACCTCAGTGCAGGTCGCAGCCTACTGTGTAGCCACTGCGCCACCAGGGCTCCCCCTGCAAAGTGGGGTCCTTTAAGGACTCATTGACAAAGCTTGGGCAAATGCTAACCTGACACTGGCTCATCAATACAGCAGTCAGGCCTCTGCTGAGCTGTCACCTGCGAAAGTCCTGGGCCTGACCAACCTAGGTTGTCCACTGGGGTGCCTATAGGTCCCAGCCTCCTCCCCATGCCCTGCCTTGGTTCAGCAGTTCCCCCTGGGCATGCTTGCTGGTCCACATTCTGGTTCCCGTGGCCCTGTCTCGCCCTCTTGGGGGAGGTGTCTAGTACCGAAGGTGGCCTGGGGGAGTGTGAGGTCATGCGCATTGCCAGCTCGTGAGCAGCCTCCATGCAGCACACATACAACTGGGGCGGGTTTTCCTCTGCAGACACTCCCTTGCCATCTGTGGTAGGGACCTGGCTCCAGACAGCCTTCCAGCTGGGGAGCAGGGGCTGCAGGTCCCTCGGAGCAGGGTGATGACAATTGGCAGGAAGGTCTGTGGCCTCCTCGTTCCAAGCCATGGACACAGCACTGACTCCATGGGATCAGTGTATGTATCCCATGCTGTATGTACTCCCTCAATGCAAGAATATTTTGTTTTATTAAACTGGCATTCCATGATGCTCACCTTCCTGACATGATCACTGTAGACAAAGCGGGTGCATAAGCAAACGTGGTGAAGACAGCTGATGGTGCCCGGCTATCAAAAGACATAGCGTCTGGGATCTTAAAGGCTTGAGGATAAACAAGCGGCCATGTAGCTGAGAAGCAACAAGGCCCACAAGGAGGAAGTACACCAGCCTGTGTGATCATGAGGTGTCGATAGGATCAGGTGTCCGGCATGAAAGAACAAAAAATTCTATCATTGTGAATGAGAGGGAGTGCGGAGTGGAGCCCCAAGGCCCATCTGCAGGCAACTAGACATTCCCTTACAGAAGGGTCTCGGGGAGGAAATGAACCAGTCAGGGTGCAATACTGATGAAACATACAACTTTCCTCTAGTTCTTTAATGCTTCCTCTTTCCCCATTACCATGACCCCAATTCTACCTTACAAATTCGGCTAGACTAGAGGATGTACACTGGTACAGAGAAGAGCTGGAAACACAGGAAATCCAGGACAGATAAACCACTCAGGACCAATAATGAATAGATACCAGGCGAGGAAGGGGAAGGTGGGGGAGAAAGGGGAACCGATCACAATGATCTACATATAACCCTCTCTCTGCGGGACGGACAACAGAAAAGTGGGTGAAGGGAGATGTCAGACAGTGTAAGACATGGAAAAGTAATAATAATTCATAAATTATCAAGGGTTCATGAGGGAGGGGAGGGAAAAAATAAGGAGTTAGCTCAATTAGAAAGAACATGTTTGGGAATGATGATGGCAACAAATGTAAAAATGTGCTTGAGCGATGGATGGATGGATTGTGATAAGAGCTGTATGAGTCCCCAATAAAATGATTAAAAAAAAAGAAGCTTGGAGACGCATAAGCTCTGTATTATTAAAAAGGGGACCAGATTCACACCATTATTTCAAAGTTCCACACGGAAACGTGGCACCACTTGGCCCTGTGCCAATAGCCCAGGGTGCCCCCACCCCTGGCTGTGCTGTGACATTTGGAGAAAAATGGGGGTGAGAGACCTCCAATTTGACATTTTTGAAAAATTTATTTTAAGCTCCTGTAAGCTGAGTAATCTTGCCATCTACAACCCAAAAGCAGAATTCAGATTCCTCCCTTGTTTACTCCCTTTAGAAATTGGATACACAGGACTTTGTGTACCAGAGGTAGCAGACGGGAGGTTGCCGTCAGCTTGCTCCAGGTTTACCAGGCAAGTGCGGGCACCTCAATATGCGCAGGGAGGGAGGGCTGGGTGGGGCAACAGGCTGGGTCTGAGGACAGGTGTATCTCAGTGGGGAGTGGCCACTGGAGCACACCAGTATTCTCACGGGCAAGATGGCTGCTGGGTGCCTCAAAGGGTCAGACTGGCCACCCAGCACCGGGGCAGTCATGCAATTTCTGCTCCAACTGCAGACTGTTTAAAAAATGACAACTCTTCCCTGTTGGAACTGTTGCTGCTAGATTACATTAGGGCAAAGCCACCAGCAGAGTTGCAGATCGCAGCTGTTGGAAGTCAAGTGGTCACCAGCAAGGAAGCGTTGTTTATTTCAGGGAGCTGCCAATGGGGAGACCCCAAGACATATCACCACCTGTGACTCAATGTCATGTCTACAGCACCTTCTGGGGGGGTGGGGGTAGGTGGAGAGGTGGGGTGGGTGGGGGGAGACGACACACGATTGCTCAAAATCAAACTTAAAACATCATACCTGAAATTGCTAAACATCAGAAATCCATAAGATTTCCCATCTGCCTGCCAGTTCCTCTGAGGTCACAGTTCGGCTCCTCAAAGCGGGCCCCGGCACCCACCCCGTACCCGTGTGCCTGACAACAGGCATCGTGAGCCTGCAGGGGTGTGGCTGCAGGGGACATGCTGTTGCCCGGGGGTCCGCACACAACACAATAAGAAACCAAAAGGCTCACCAGGGGCTGGCTGTGCTCCTGACTTGGCACAGCTCAGTGGCAGTGGCACCCGGCACTTCTCAGGGCCCCCCTCGTTCTTGCAAAGCAAGGCAAAAAACAGTAGAAGATGGAACTAGAGGCCTGCAGCCCACAATGCAGGATGTACTGAACCCAAGAAGCACAGTCACCGCCACGCCCAGGTCCCCGCCCTACAGGAGCTGGCTTCTAGGCCGAAATTCGTGACCTGTGCACATGGCCACACGCGGGAAATACAATTAAGTGGATGGTGGGTCAACTGCTTTCTGGAAGAAGAACCCTTCGTTCTGGTCCCTGTCTTCGCAGGGCTAATGAGCCGTGATGTCTCATGGTCCTCCCCTGTGGTCAAGGTGCCACGAGACCCACGGGGATGCATCACCCATTTCAGACCCGGAACCCACGGACAACCGGTACCCAGGGGCCAGGAACCGAGGGTTGGGTTTAAGCTAATGATCGCAGGTGGCGCGATTCATGACTACAGTTTATTCAATATGTCTCCAAGCGTTAAAAAGTCAAACTGCAGTAAAACTGTACCTTAAAGTGCTTTTTATTTTGGTATTTTTAAAATTTGTTGTGGGGCAACTCCTAGCTTTGTGAAGGACCGATATAAAGAATGCACCCTGTATGTCTGGAGAACACAGCGTTTTTATTGCTCTTTTCACTCTCAAATGACATCAGAAAAATAGCTTAAAGAGCACAATCATTTCCAATTTTTGATCATGGCAACATTTCAATAAGATCCACGCTTATGCCCAGAGCGGCCATCCACACCTGTCTGAGATGCTGTACAAATAGGGAGACATATTAAATACAAAGGTCCATGTAAACAGAATTCCGTAACTACTACTGTACAACCATGAAAATGAACTTTATCACATATCTTTACATCAGTTTAAATTGGATATTCCTATTCAATGTTACTGCAAGATTAAAAATTTGCCCCCACACATCTAAAGGCAGCTTGCTTTTTTTTCTCTTTAATATAAAAACCAAAGGGATTTTGTTTGTAAGCATCACAGAGGAAGCAACAGCTCGCCTTCACTCCTGTTATGCTCATGTAACAAAAAGCCCGCCGCCGCCGGCTTGATTTCCTAAAACCCCCACCAAAGTGGGGACCCCCATGGGACAGCGGACCCACATGCTAGAGCGCCCTGGTGCCAGACAGCTCCCAAGCCTCCTAGTGGCCAAAGAGTGCTTCCTCTTAACACCAAGGCCGCCCACTGCTGGAGAGGGCTCCCAGCTCCACCTCCAGGCTCTTCCGAAGGGCTGAGGCGAGATTCTGATTTCAAAAAAGGTGGTGTGCATCCCCTGACTCTGCCGACTGCATGTTCCGCTACGGGTCCACATCGTCAAGGTCACCTCTTAAGTCACCAATCATCATGGGGGATTCAGAGCCCTGGGTGAAGAAAGAGACGCTAAAATCACATACACCCCCTCCCCACCTGTGCATGTGGTGAGGTCCCAAAGACAGGGCATTGTGTACAAATGGAGGGCAGCACTTCGGGCCCCTGAGCACTGCACAGCCACACAGCCAGTTATACCTGCTGTAAACGCCTCTCCCCGTTCTCGTTGGCAGGACTGCTCTCTGACCCATTACTGCTTCCTGATTGCTCCTTCTCATTCAGCAAAGCGGTGGCGTATGCCAGTGTGTCCTGCAGGAGATTCACACACAAGAGGAGTCATGGGTGTGCAGAAGGAGCAGCAATCACCAGGGTGCTCTGAGTGGGGCTCCCACAGCCACCAGGGCTCCCAGCTCTGCCTTGGTCCTGCGCCGGGACCAAAATTGCAGCACCAGGCTCCTTTCTGCTGAGCAAGGGATTCACGGAGCTGCTGAGTGGGAAACACTCGGGGCGGTCTTCTCCCTGGCTCAACAGCTGCTCCTGCTAGTGCTCTTTTGCAACCCACATCTCTCTTTTTGAGGCCACAGTTCCTAAGAAATAGGGTAAAGAGCCCACTTGAGGGGTGTCAAACCCCACCTTTAGAAAGGGAATCCTCACCTGAGCGGAAATCGTTCGCTGAAAGGTTTTTCCAGTTGATGTTTCGTTAGAGACATTGCTCTGTGGCGTCCAGTAATGTTCTGACATCTGAGATGAAAGGAGGTCAAAGACGCCGTCAGAGACGAAAGGTCACTCACAGGGCTCCACCATCTCTTCCACGAGATGTTCAGAGTGTAAACAATAGCTAAAACACACCTGAACGTGGATACGAAACGAGCCAACCTGCTAGTAACCAGGAGATGACTTCATGGAAGGTTCCCGACCACTTTCAAGGCCTCCACAAAAGAACAATTCTCCTAGAGCCCTTCCTTTCCAGCCTGTGCGTGAGTCTCGTTCTTTCACGCAAAAACGCAATACATAGAGGCAGCTATCAACTACACCACACCGGTGTGTG